TTTGATATCAAAACTGGAGTTGTGATGTATGAACTTGTGAAGCAACTAAGCTTGATAATTGTGGCGGAACTACATTATTAAACTTAGGGAAAACACTCAAATATCTAGTTCTTAGGGCTGCCATTGAACTAAATCATTAATGCGGACATTGTGATTGTTTGTTGGTTAGGGTTAGTTATACGGCGGATCTGTTAATTAACCAACATTAAGAAAAGATAAAAATTCAGAATATAAATTGTAGTTTTGTTTCAAGGATCGGTTCTAATTTCTGTTGGTGGATGTGTGCTTGCAACCAAGGTTTGTTTTCTTGATAAATTTCGATTTCAATTGATTTTGTTTGCTAGTTTAATTTCTTCCATAGTTTAGATCATCACAAATCAAAACCCCCCAATTGCATAACGTATAGCATAAAAATCTGAACTAAATCTTCCTTGTGGGATCGACCCCTTGCTTGCTCTATACTATCTTGTGTGTTGTGTTTTAAGCTAGGGTAATTAATTTGTGCGACCACGACATCGCAACAGGTATACCTTAGACTCATAGCTAGGTATGGACAAGCTAGAGTTTTTGCCTTTATTAAACTAGATACTTTATTATCTAATGCAATGATGTTAATTATACTTCATGGTGTTATTTTTTTAGGTCCCTGCATGAACTAAAAATAAAAGATGTTGAAATAAAATTTAATTTTTGCAACTTGGTTTTGGCTAAAAATGGATGTAATAAACGAGGTAATTAGAGAGAAAAATGAGTTAGGTCTTTTGTATATAAACGTGGAAGAGTGTTAAATGTTTTATAGTTGGAAAACTACTTGAGAATATGTGGATACCACTGGCTAAGTTAGTAACATTACAGCTTATAATTGTCCAAGTTTTTACTTGTTGTTTCCTCATCTAAGAGATTGTTTTTTATACTCCACTTTTATCTGGAACTAATATTTTCAATTTATAACTTCTATTTAGCTTAGCTATTTAGTGTTTCTAATGATTGCAACTCTTAATTCTTTTATATTAAGAAGTTTTTCAAAACTCAAAATTTATCAAAAATATTTTTTATACTTTTGGTTTTATCACTATGACCAATTTATGCAAAATCACATGCATTATAAGTTTTGAACCTAAAAACTACTTTCTAACCTTGACCTTTCTTAATTGATTGAGTTCCTCTTACATAAACATTATCCAATATTTTGTATTTTAATATATCATTATAAGTCTTGAATTTAAGATGAGAAATTAATATGATATTGTTGAAGTGGTTCATTATGGCATATATGATTTAAACACCTTAATAGATGTTTTTAATAAAGGCACTGCAAAATAATACTATTAGCTTTTTAATAGCAGTTAAGTATAAAAAAGTTCACATATCATTTTATTGGTTGTCTAGATTCTTAATAGTTTAAGGATTTTTCGTCAACTTATCATTCTCTAGTGTATGTTCTTGCTCTTAATCTATGTTCAACTTGTTAAGAAAAACATCTACAATTATTTCTTTTATATTTCTCATATAAAGATGATAAGATTCATTAAAAACTACATGTATAAATTCTTCCATAGCAAGAGTCCTTCTATTATAAACATGCAAAGCTTTACTTGTAATAGAATAACCAATAAAATACCCTTACTAGATTTAGCATTAAACTTTCCCAAGTTTTTATTTCTTTTGTATCAAGTATGCATTGAAAAATCAAAAGTATAAAATACTAGGTTTTCTTTTGAAAAGCTTATATACATTTTTATTAAAAAATAGGTTTAATATAAACTCGATTTGAAAAATTGCATGAGGTGCTAATGACTTCCATAAAAAACAAATACTATAATAAACTATACTAATTAAATATAGTTCTTTCTATTTCTTGAAGTGATCAATTTTTCCTCCTAATAATCCTATTTTTTATGAAGCTTTTGAAGTTGAAAACTCATTTGTAAAGTTATAGTTATGCATAATTTTTCAAAAATGATTCTATCAAATCCATTGTCATGGTCACTCATAATAGTTGAAATTACAATACCTTTTTTTTATTTAGATTCTTTTTGTAAGAATTTAAGAAAGTTTGAAGAGCTTTATTATTGTGAGAAATATACACTAACCAAATGAATCTAGAATAATCTTCAATAATTATGAATATATATTTCTTACCACTAAGACTAGTAACTCATATTAGACCAAATAGGTTTAAGTCATGCAATTAGAGAGCTTGTTATAATTACATGATATTCTTATCTTTAAATGAACTTTTATTTCTTATATTTGATGTTAGGTATACCTCTCACTAAATGTTTTTTAAAAATTTAAAAAATCACTCTATGTTTTCATGACCAAATCTTTTAGGCCCAATACAAGGAGATTTTAGTAATGTATTGAAAAGCTTAACATCAATGTCATAAAATTTACTAATTTCAGTCATAAAAGTATTTCCACGCACTATCCAATAAAGATAATTTTGTTATCAACAACACATATAACCAAATAATGCAACATTTAAATGTAACTTAGTTTGAAACTATGTTTTGCATAAGATCTAATATAAATTAGTTTTGAAACATTACATGAGATGTTAATGGCTTCCGTCCAAAAATATTAAGATAAACTATACTCATTAAACATAATTCTTTCTATTTCTTAAAGTAGTCAATTTCTCCTCTCAATAATCCTATTTTTTTTATTGAGTTCTTGGAGTTGAAAACAAATTTGTAAAATTATTTTTTGCACAAAATTCTTTAAAAAAGGTGTTATCAAATGCACTACCATGGTCACTGATGATATTTGAAATTGCAAAATCTTTTTTATTTAGATTTTTTTGTCAAAATTTAAGAACTCTTAAAGAGCCTTATCCTTTTGAGAAATATAAAATACCCAAGTGAATCTAGTGCGGATTGAGATTTTTAAAACCTACTATACTCGACCCAACCTACATAACATAATGCAAGTAACCTAAGCCCTTGGTATATATAACATTTTCATTCTCTCTCAATGTTTTATCCTCTCTTGGTTGGACACTTACATTCACTACTCGTCCTTTTAACCTCTTTCTCTTTTTTCTATTTCTCACTTTCACATAAATTATAATTGTTTATTTTTTAGTTTAATTTGATAAAGTCACAAAGCATTTTACAATCCTAATATTTTTTGTTTGGTAACAAAGATACTAGGAGAAAACAAATAAAAATTTCAAGTTCCACATCGAACTTTCATTTTCTTAGTCAAATCTCAAACCCAAAGTATTTTATAGTCTTTTTTTGCTATATGTTTTTGTATCATATTCCAACCTAATTTTTTGATAAAATATTTGATTGTGATTTTTTGTTTCGTTTTTATGTGGAAATTGTGAGTTTTCATGCAAGGTTGTCAATTGTATTTTGATAGATTTTTTTTCAATTGAAATGAAATATTTTGATTTTATAATGTTTCGACATGCTGTTACGGAGTTATACTGTTCATATATATATATATATATATATATAATTCAACAAATATAATTCAAATTTAAAATAAGTTAATTATAAATTATGCTATACAAACACAATGTCAAACAATTATTATTTTAAAATTTAAAATATTTCTAAATAGTTAAAGATTAAATAAAACTTTAACTTAAAGCAATTCAACTTAAAGAAAATATCAATTTGATTTAATGGCCTTTGAAGCTCGCAACGGAACATGTGAAATAAAATCAGAATATTTTAGCTAATATTTATCCAAAAAATCCAAATTTTAAATAAGATAAAAATTATTTTATTTTATTCTATTTTTTGAATTGACATAAAATATTTCAGTTATTCCAGATAAAATAAAATATAATTAACAATTTTGTTTTCTTGTGGTTTTTAATGTATTCATTTTAAAGGTATTATCTAATTCTAATAGTTTTAATATATAAATTATTTTTTTCTAGAATCGTCTAGGTATAAAAGAATTAATATATCTAATTCATAAATATTTGTAATATTTAGACTATTTTTAGCATATATCTATCCTGCTTGAATAAAAAGAAGAAGAATGAATTAAGTTTATATTTTATAAAATATCAAAAATTAAATTAAATATAATTATAAATTAAAACCCGACACCATATATCCGGTGACACCCGTGTTATTTTCCTTAGTAAATTTGGGTACTGTGATAATTTGAAAAATTAAAAACTCGCATTATTGTACTCCAGCTTGTTGCGTGTCTACTCCAACCAAAAAGAACCTTCACCGGAATCTCACTGGGAAATGAAACGTCCTGTCATCCTGATCGTGGCTTACTTTCAACAATAATCATGGATTTTTTTTTATAAGTTATAGATACGTACAGCTTTAACTTTTTTATCAAAGTTTTGTCAAAGATATATTTACATGTGGTTTGTTTAGCTGTTTAAGCTTTTTTGGTCCAGTATATATATATCGACTTGCTCATCTTTTTCTTTCTTCAATTGGATTTCACCTCCATCGTTTGTGTCTGTATTTTATCTACCCTATTGTTTTATGTAAAATACTGACGACATGAGGAAAGCTCCACAGTCTTGTACTGTATATAATAATATGGATGTGAAAAAAGAAGAAAAGAAGAGGAAAACAACGAGAAATGTTAAAAGTACTCAACCACTTTTGTATTATGTGGTGAACTGAAACTCCTTCAGTGGATTGCTTCCAGTTGTTTTTCACCTATTGTTTTATGTAAAATACTGACGACCTGAGGAAAGCTCTACAGTCTTGTACTATATATAATAATATGGATGTGAAAAAGAAGAAAAAAAGAAAAAGAAGAAGAAAACAACGAGAAATGTTAAAAGTATTCAACCACTTTTGTATTATGTGGTGAACTCAAACTCCTTCATTGGATTGCTTCCAGTGGTTTTTAATTTGTTCTTGTTTCCTTTCTTCTACCTTCATGTGGTCTTTTTGACTGATCATTGTCTTTTCTTTCTTTTTCTTTTTTATTTGTATTATTAATGTCAGCACTGTTTCTCTTGTACCGTGTTTTTTCTAGAAGAATGTAATCTTATCTGCTAATAAGGTGGTAAGTAGATCAGTAAATCAAGACCATAACATTGTTTAATGTTGTTGTCTTGCAGGAAGTAGATGAATTTCGTGACATTTAGTTGTCTAATGAGATTACTAATTAAGTGATTGTAGTCAAAGGACTTCTCTAATGATTTCGATCAGTTGTATGTTGCTCCGGGGCTAACCCCTGATTTTGTCCAGGTTCGAAATGTTAGGAATGGAAATATGCTTTATGACCTTTCTCTGCTTTCCTATACAGTGCTCACTTTTGCAACAAGTTCTGATGTTTTATCAGCTCAAAGGGATGCAATGGTTGAACAAGAACTATGTCCAGCACAACTGAATAGCCCCATTGCAGCTGATGATTCTTTGTTCACCAATACTTCTCACCCAGTTTTGTCAAACTTAAACGCTTCACCTACAGCCAATAGTGGCGACGCACAGGAATGTGGCAACTGGAGAAAGCTTGGTTCAGAGCAAAGTTATGATTTGAGTGTTGATTACGCTGGTGTATCAGTAATTGGGGAGAGGAATCAGAAACTGATGTCTGCTGGGGAAGTCATCTGCTGGGGAAGTCATATAAAATAATGCAAAGGTAACCGACGTTTCTTTATATATAAAAACAAAATTTGAAGCCTGATTACAATGAGCAACGAGATACGGAGCTTCAATCTTCTTTAGTCAATCCCTCGTATGAATTTTCTAGTCAAGATAATCAGAAGCGGTAGATTGATTGGGAGTGCTAAAGAATGTGTTCTCCATCCAGCGAGTGGGAATCATTCCACCGCTTTACATTTTAATAATTTCGATGCTTGGATAAGAAAGCCGACTGAGAACTCCCATCAGGGGAGTGATGAGCTGGTTCTTAATACAAGGAAGACGTCCCAAGAGCTGAGGACTATTCCAAGTGATGCTATTACTCAGGGCTTGTCCCCGTCTCTTCCATCAAATCGGCCATCTAAACTCAACGGTACGCAGTTTGCAGAAGCATATGAATCTGAGTGTTTGGAATCAAAGAATGGCTTTTCCAAAGAGCCTCATGATGATTCAAAAGTTTCCAGGTAAAGTTATCTATGTCAATTGCCAATACCATCAATTCTAAGTAAAAGTTGAGGAAATCATTACATAACTTGCCAGGAAATGCTACAAATGTTCAAAATACTGGTCTTCTTGGGCCTTTCACTGGATATTCAACTATTCTAAATAGTTCTAGATTCTTAAAGCCAGCTCAAGAGCTACTGGAGGAATTCTGTGGTGTTAATTGTTAAAGGTCTGAAACTCATAAGAGCATGTGAGTTGCCCAAGAGGCGAGGTGAAGGAGCTAGGCCTCCACGTTTGAGTGATACTGTTAATGAATCTGATACCGGGGATGAAGCTAATGATGACAACAATTTAGGTGCCTTATTGTTTAACTTTCGCAGATCAAATGAAGAATTTGGTGATTGTGGAGTAAGAAACATATCTTCTGAATCTTATAGGCCAGATTACCGACAAATGAAGGCCAAGCGCCTATTGTTGCTGGATGAGGTTGGTTATATCTATGTCCCCCGTCTCTCTCTCAGTCGGGCGCGCACACAAACACTCCTTTATATATATATATATGATGGTGCCATCATCCTCCATTTTTCTCTTTCCTATCGTTACATGCATAAAAAGAAGGATGGCACAAGCTTGTTGGAACCACTTTGTCTTGACTATATCAGCAACTTCTCTCGAGATGGTTTAGTTGCTAATTTACTCCATCCAACAGCTTGCTTGATATTACATTTGTTGCATATGAACAACAGGCTTTCCATGTGGACCTATTTTCCAAGAGTTAAATCTTTTAACATTCAGAAATATCACATTTGTCTTGGTTAAGAGCTAGATGAAGTAGTTATAAAAGCTTTAAACGGAGGCTTGAGGCAGTACTGCCTTAACAAGAATGTTACAGGGGAAATTTAAACACCACTAAAAAATATTGCGTCTTTACGAAACACGGATATAAAGAAATATGTGCAAAACACGCAAGTTGAAAATTTGGCACAAGACGTATAAAACGGTAAGGAACACAAACAAATCCCCGCGGGAAAATGAATCTGTTAATTGGAAATAAGTTTCATTTTTATAAAAGGAAAACCTTAGAGAACAATGATAAGCAAGGCACAAATTTTTGGGAATAGAGGAATGGAATTGGGGATAGGGTTAGATAAGGTCAGTGATAGGCAATAATTAAAGAAAACTTAAAGGCATAATATTGTGTTACTATGCGCTGGAAATCTGGAAAAGTTTCCTGTGAGACATTTTTCTTTTTAAGAATTTCAACGTCAAGTCTGAACTTCCTTCGTATGATGAACTTGTGAATCAGTTTCATATGCAATCTTCTGCATTCAGAGTATTCAATGATCATTCATGTCATAAGTTGTAGTTATAGACAACGCAGGCAATGCTCCCAGCAGAATTTCACTTCCCTTGCAAACAATTTTAGTCTCAAGACTATATATTTTTGTTAGCGAAGAGAATGGACCTTTCTGCTCTTCCTTAGTTTCAATGCCTTTTTGAATATTTTGTTTTTGAAATGGTCATTTTTGACTTGGGGTTGGATTTGATTCACTCAAGATTGGTGGTGTTTTCTAAGCCGTTGCAGGAATAGTAGAAAAGTGCAAATGCAAAAAACTTCTTGTTAAAGCCTTGATTATATAAGACAATTTAATGTTTTTTGGTTTGGTCTATTCAACTATGTTAATTCAATCCTGAATCTGGGAAGTCCTCAGATATGCGCTTGCATATCTGAGGAAATAGCGCATATGCGTATCCTCAGATATGCGCTTGCATATCTGAGGATATAGCGCATATGCACTTGCATATGCGTGCATGTGCACACACCTACAGTCCAATTAATTCTTCAGTTAGGTTCAAGCATTATTTACTGCATGTTTCCTTGTCTTACAACTCCAAATGTCCTGGGATATATACAATAGGATGATGATTTTAGTTCTATAACTATTCATCAACTGCTAGTATCACAATCAAATTTAGTTTCCAGTTACCTGTTGATTTGGACTTTAGATTGTATGAAATGAGTATTCAATTTAATTCCCACTTGTTTCCTAGTTATTATTCAAATCAGTGCTTTTCAATGATATTGAAGCATTTATGCCTGAGACTAATTTTTACGTCATTCAAGGTTAAATATTGCTTCAAGGGGATTGTATATTCTGTAAGCTGAGCCATGCTGGGGTCGGTCCAGCTTTCATTCTGCTGAAATAAATTGGTTTAAGTAATAAGCAATCAGTGCAGGAATTTTAACATTGACGGTTCTTTAAGGGGAGCTATCAGAGGATTTTGATTGTCTGTGTGGTCATTTAAATATGGATAGGGTAGTATTCCTTGTTATCAGTAATTATTACTCAGTTAACAGTGCACATCCTTCCAAAGTCACCATGCAAGTCCTAAGACAAATAAGCTGTCTTGTTATGACAGACACCATTACTGACGTGAAAAAAAGGAGGTCAGATCAGCAGCATCTTAAACTTGCTAGAAAATGCAAATTTTGATTGTTGCCATTCTGCTTAAACTTTGATTGACGACGAAAGAATGCGGAGTGGAATTGCTTTTTGTCCCCAGTCCCCAATAAACTCCAACCAAGTTGTTTATGTTCTATCATTATGGATAATGAGATTATCTTAGAACTGGTAAGTTGTATATATTTGAGAATGTAATGCCTTTGTTGAACATGTAAATCTCAAGAATGTTGGTGGCTTAATTTCTAACATCTGCTTCCATTCATACTTTGAAAAAGCTTTTTTGTGACTCTGCTGCGCTGTTTATGAAACGGTTTTGCAAGAGGTACAAGCAATATCATCAGCAGATGGAAATGGTTGCTTCATTTTTTGAATCATTTGCTGGTCTTAATGCTTCCACCCCAGTCTCAGGGAATTTGTTCTCTGACCAGCCATCTCTGATCAGCTCAAGCAAGCAACAAGAGTCGTAGGAGAGAATCTGTTCTCAAATACATTTACCTGAAGTCCCTAGAACACATTTGGAGGCCTCAAAGAGGCCTACCAGAACACGCACTAGTGGTTCTCCGAGCTTGGCTATTTGAGCATTTTCTTCACCCGTAAGCTTCTCTCTCTATTCTGTAGTATGTAGTTTGGTGTGAAATATTTACTATATCAAAATTTTCCACCATGTAGATACCCATCAGACACAGATGAGCACTTGCTAGCCACGCAAACAGGTCTTTCTCGACACCAGGTAAGTTAGCTCCTTGTTCATCTCTATGATCTTTTTTTTCAAGGTGCCAAGGCACTTTGGATGATTGAAGTGAGATATTTCTAGCCACTGCATGAACATCTTCTGGCAGAACAACAACGAGAATCTCAGCTAACTTTGCACAACACAACAACAACCCCTATCACCACTACTATCATCTAATTATTAATATTTATTACTTGAACGTCATTATCACTACGCAATAATAATAAATATTATTATTTATTATTGTTATTGTTGTTGTTGTTGCGTTGCTACTATCACCATCTTATTATTAAAATAATTATTATTGTAACTACTTTTTTATAACAGTTACTATTTGCTTTTAGGACAATAATTATTATCACCGTCATTAATATTATTACCGCTGTAACTCACTATCCATAAATATTTTCAACACTATTATCATCATCATTATTATTATTAATGCCCACCATTACAACCATTACCATCTTTATCACTAACATTACATTTGTTTTACAAGTAAATATTTTCTTTAGTATATTCAAACAATTAAAAATAATTCAAGAAGAAAAAAAACCCTCAATTCATTATTGAAAGTTAATTATATACTTGAAACAACCTTCTATCATCACTGCTTCATCACTATTGCAACGATAATAAGCATCCAACAATAAGCATCTATTAACAATTACTATCACCACTACTATCATCTCAATTACTATCACCACTACTATCATCTAATTATTAATATGATCCTGACCCTCAATTTATTACTTGAATATCATTATCACCACGCAATAATAATAAATATTATTATTTATTATCGTTATTGTTGTTGTTGTTGCGCTGCTACCATCACCATCTTATTATTAAAATAATTATTATTGTAACTATTTTTTTATAACAGTTACTACTTACTTTTAGAACAACAATTATTATCACTGTCACTAATATTATTACCGCTGTAACTCACTATCAATAAATATTTTCAACACTATTATCATTATCATTATTAATGTCCACCATTACCATCTTTATCACTAACATTACATTTGTTTTACAAGTAAATATTTTCTTTAGTATATTCAAACAATTAAAAATAATTCATTTTTCTTTGTAAAACTAATAAATATTTAGAAAGTTTAAATTGATAATTTAGCTACTTAAAACTAAAACAACCATCATGAACACAACTCCAATGCATATATGGTTGACAAGTTAGATGGATTATATTCGTGACTTTAAATCCACATAATTTTCATGGATTAAAAGGTTGTCAAATCAAACTCGAGGTTGGCCAACAAAGATGTAGTTGACAGCTTTAAAGATTTGATCTGTACATTCAGGTAAACCAAGATCAAAAGAATTAT